TCGCAGAAAAGAGCTCTCAGAAGACCTACGATCAAGAATTGTTGACTTGCATGAAGCTGGAAAGGGTTACAAAAGTATCTCCAAAAGGTCTACAAATGGAGAAAGTTTAGCACTGTTGCTACACTCCCTAGGCGTGGTCGTCCTGTAAAAATGACTGCAAGAGCACAGCGCAGAATGCTGCATGAGTTAAAGAAGAATCCCAGAGTGTCAGCTAAAGACCTACAGAAATCTCTGGCACATGCTAACATTTTTGTTGACACATCTACAATAAGGAAAACCTTAAACAAGAATGGAGTACATGGGAGGACACCACGGAGGAAGCCATTGCTGTCCAAAAAGAATATTGCAGCACGTTTGAAGTTTGCAAAAGAGCACCTGGATGTTCCACAGCACTACTGGCAAAATATACTGTGGACAGATGAAACCAAGATTGAGTTGTTTGGGAAGAACACACAACACTATGTGTGGAGAAAAAAAGGCACAGCACACCAACATCAAAACCTCATCTCCACTGTGAAACATGGCGGAGGGAGCATCATGGTTTGGGGCTGCTTTGCTGCCTCAGGGCCTGGACGGATTGTTATCATTGATGGGAAAATGGGACATTTTGCAGGAAAACGTACGGCCATTTGTCCACCAACTGAAGCTCCGCAGAGGATGGGTGATGCAACAGAACAAGTAATTCAACAAAACAATGGCTGCAACAGCACAGAATACGCCTTCTGGAGTGGCCCAGTCAGAGTCCTGACCTCAACCCGATTGAAAATGCTGTGGCATGACCTTAAGAGAGCGATTCACACCAGACATCCCAAGAATATTGCTACACTGAAACAGTTTTGTGAAGAGGAGTGGTCCAAAATGACTCCAGATCGTTGTGCAGGTCTGATCTGCAACTACAGGAAACGTTTGGTTGAGGTTATTGCTGCCAAAGGAGGGTCAACCAGTTATTAAGTCCAAAGGTTCACATACTTTTTCCTCCCTGCACTGTGAATGTTTACATGTTATGTGCAATTAAACCATGGCAACATCTAATGTTTGTGTAGTATTATGTTCAGCAGACTGTGTTCTTCTATTGTGACTTAGATGACGTTCAGAGCACATTTTATGAACAAATTCATGCAAAACTCCACGTAATCCCAAGGGGTTCACATACTTTTTCTTGCAACTGTATATATACATATACACACATTTGCCACTTTATCAGGTACACCTGTTCAATTGCTTGGTAACACACATTGTTAATCAGCCAATCACATGGCAGCAACTCAATGCATTTAGAGATCTAGACGTGGTGAAGATGACTTGCTGAATTTGGTGGTTGGTTGTTGGTGCCAGACTGGTTGGTCTGAGTATTTCAGCAATACTCAGACCAGTATATACTGGTCTGAGTATTGCTGATGTAAGCATTTATGAGCAATGTTTCCAACACCTTGTTGAATCTGAAGAATTAATACATTTCTGAAGTCAAAAAGGGGGTCCAACCCGGAACAAGCAAGGTGAACCTAATAAAGGAGCCAGTGAGTGTTTTATATAATGTGATATGGGTGTTGGTTAGCTCAGTGTGGGAAGCGTTTTTATGTGAGTTCACAGCAGTCTGAACTTTAGGTTTAAGGGCCGGTAGACCATTTTTTTTTTAAAAGGAAAGAAAGTCTTCAGCCTCATACTGCAAAACAAGTAGCAGATACAAAAATTCCAAGTCACCTGGCTGTCCTGTCAGCTGTACCACTGCTCCTTACAATGGTCTTCCAGACCAAAGGTTCTACAGAATAACTTAGCCTTTACTCATAGCCCCCTTCCAGGGACGGACTGAACATTTGGAAATTCGGGTACTCAGTAGGGGGCCCCATGAGATGCCCCTGGTACCTTTTTCATAGGCTTTTTTTGAGTTTGGACAAGCACACAGGGGCCCCATGATCTCCTATTGCCCGGGGACCCCATGAGTTTTCAGTCCGCCCCTGCCCCCTTCTGTACTGGCTCACTCCTGGCCTCTGGATAGGGCCACCCAGCACCCCAGGCTCTCCCTCTTGAGACTTACAGATCCCTCCTCCTGGACTCTCTAGTTGCCTCAGCTCTCTTGGTCCTCTGCTGACCCACATAGCTGTACCAACTCTCCTGGCCATACAGGTAAGACAACCTATTTAACGTGGAGTCTTGTTTCCCAGTAGGACACCACTTCTTGCTGGTGCACACCACTATTCTCACACACTGGCTGTGTTGCTGAACCTGCAGTAGCTCTGATAATGCTGCACACAGGCTTCAGGTGTCTCACAAAGCACAGGATTGAGGGATCCTTCCCACCCAAGATACTTTGGAAACTCAAGGCCCTGGTCCAGGATTATCAAACCTTTGAGAATCCTGTGTTGTCTCTATGCCAATTTACTAAATTCATACCATGGTAGGGCCTTGCACTCTCACTCTCAATGTGTATATATATATATTTTTATATATATACATATTAAATTATATTATAATATTAATATTATTATTATATTATTATTAATATATATATATATATATATTTTTTTTTTCTTTTTTATACTGTAAATTGATAGAGAAAAAGAAAGAGACAGGGAAAACAATGTTTTATACCACATACAGAGTAATGCATACCATGTACGACCTAATAGAATTTTAAAACGTCTTATTCACCCTCATATCAAACTACAGAACATGTTAACCCAATTCAAGGTGAGTCAATATTAATTCATCAATATTAAGAAATACAAAAAGTGTGCAGTAAAAGTACCCTTGAGGAGCTCGTGCATTACAATGTTACTTAATCAATTATTCACACAATTTTCTTTTTTTTTTTAATGTTTTAATTGAGTCTTAATTATTCAATGCAACTAAAATATTAGTAGGGAGTTCGGTTGACATGCAGCCCATATGAGGCATCCTCTTCTATACATGTATTTTCAAGTCTTTATATGACCCACAGATGCAATGGACCGTTTCATAATTGCTGCCTCAATCTGACAGATGCCCACAGCCACATCCTTTGTTTCCTCACTTTTTTCCAGATTTAAGGTTTGGGCGCACTCACAAAATACATCTTCTAAAGAACAAAATTTGTACAGCACAAATGAACCACTTGAGCTCCGGAAGATGTTACCCCATTCATGACCAGGCCATTTTTTGCAGTTTGGCACTGCGCTACTTTAATTGGCAATTGAGCGGGCATGCAATGTTGTATGCAAATTTAAATAGTTTTTTGTACAAATATATATTTCTTTTGGTGGTATTTTTTCACCACTGTTTTTTTTATATTTTTTGTGATATAAGCAAAAAAAGCCCCCAAATTCTGAAAAAAAACCCCCAATATTTTCTACTTTCTGTTATAAAACATGTTATTTAGTCAATTATTTGCACAAATATATGTCTTATTTATTCACATATGTCTTAATGACTCTCATTTCTTCACACATTTTGGCCAAAACGTATTCTGTCTTTGGGCAAAAAAAAAATCCCAAAAAGTGTATATTGATTGGTTTACGTGAAAGTTTCAGCATCTACAAACTATAGTATAGATACTGGAATTTTTATTTATTTATTTATTTTTTAATACTAGTAATGGCAGCAATCAGGGGCGGACTGACCATTTGGGAACTCCGGCAGTGCCCGAGGGCCTGGGGTCAGTAGGGGGCCCCATGAGATGCCCCTGGTACCTTTTTCATAGGCTTTTTTGAGTTTGGGCTAGGACACAGGGGCCCCATGATCCCCTATTGCCCGGGGGCCCTATGAGTTGTCAGTCCGCCCCTGGCAGCGATCAGCGACCTCTGGTGAGACTACGATAGTGTGTTGGGCAATCTGGCGCTAACTAATGCTGAGGAGAACTGACTGCCACTGACATGCCCAGTGCCATTAATACAATGATCAGGGGGTAAAAATATATGCTGTCACTGTACTAGTGACACTGGCCTGGAAGGGGTTAACATATAGGGCTATCAAGGGGTTAAATATGTGCCTAACAATGTTTAGTATGTTTACTGTGTGGTGTATTAGTAAGCAAAGTGCCGGTTTTTATTCCCTTCTTTGCAGGGAGAAAAAAAAAGGCAGCTCCATTCTGTGTAAAGAGAGTGCCCTGTGTTGTTTACCAACACAGAGCTCTCTTCTGTCATTCACTGAGCCGATCAGCAGGTCCCAGCCATAAATCATTGGCTGATCGACTTGTGCTGCAACAAATGACAGCCCAGTCTTTTGGGTTAGTGCACGCATGTGCAAGTGGACCCTGGAAGAAAGCTGCAGCGTACAGACACCTGATTGTGCCTTTACAAGCCTGTATTGTGTCAGATCAGCAAGAGTCCACTCAGTATATCTCTCAAAGTCCTACTTCTACTGCCTGAAAATAATTTTAGGAGATTAACTTTAGTGCACATAAACAGAGAAGGACGTTTGAGAAAAAAATTCTACGCAAATACTCATAGAGTGCAATAGTAACCCGATGATTGTAACTGTTGTCTACATTTACCTTTTACTGATCCAATAAACACCAAGAATACTTGTTTCTACTTTCAGTACATCTTTGCTGTAGAGTATAAAAGCAACCAGACCTTCATTACTGAAGTCATCATCTTGGGATTCCAAATCTCTAAAGAAACCGACATTTTTATCTTCATTCTTCTCCTTATGATTTACATTTTGACACTTTTTGGAAACCTTCTGATCATCACACTGGTGGTCTACAGCAAGACCCTCCAAACCCCCATGTACTTCTTCCTTGCCCAACTCTCCTTGTGTGATATCATGATAGCCACAGACATTGCCCCAAACTTGCTTTATGTTTTACTTTCCAAAGGTGCAACAATGTCCTTCACAAACTGTATTTTCCAATATTATATTTTTGCAATGATGGAAAGTTTGGAGTGTCTTCTTCTGACCGTCATGGCTTACGACCGATATTTGGCCATCTGTAACCCTTTGCATTATTCTTCTATAATGAATGAGGCGTTTTGCATAAAGCTGACCATCATTTCTTGGTTGTTGAGCATTTGTTCCAAGAGATGATTAGCACAATTACTATAGCCAGTCTTGACTTTTGTGGGCCGAATGTAATCGACCATTTCTTCTGTGATTTCTCACCACTGTTAAAACTTTCCTGCTCAGATACATTCTTTGTTTACTTAGATATACTACTCAATAGCGTACCTTTCATTTTCATACCTTTCTTAGCCGTTATGATATCCTATGGTTATATTATTTTTAACATCTTAAAAATATCATCCAACACTGGAAAACGGAAGGCGTTCTCCACCTGCAGCGCTCACTTGATGGTGGTTTCTATATTTTATATAGCTCTAATTGTTATCTATGACCTTCCAACAAGCGGACAGTCATGGACTATAAACAAATTAGTATCTCTGTCCTTTACAGTGGGGACACCATTGATTAATCCAATTATATACAGCTTGAGAAACAGGGACATAAAAATTGCATTTGCTAAGTTCATACATTTTTTTTATTAATGTATAGGAAAGATGCACCATTGACTCCACCCTGTGATTTTGATTTCCAATTTTCAAAATAACATGACAAATTTTGGGTCTTTTTCACTAAAGCTTTTGGAAATACGCCAGCACATTGGTAGCATGGCCGACCTCATCGCAGGCTATCCCCTCTTCAGTCTATCATGAATGCTGCTGCCAGACTCATCCACCTTACTAACCGCTCTGTATCTGCCACCCCTCTCTGCCGATCCCTCCACTGGTCTTCACTCAGTGTCCTCCACCCCTCTCTGCCGATCCCTCCACTGGTCTTCACTCAGTGTCCTCCACCCCTCTCTGCCAATCCCTCCACTGGCCTCCATTTAGTGTCCTCCTCCCCCCTCTGCCAATCCCTCCACTGGTCTTCACTCAGTGTCCTCCACCCCTCTCTGCCAATCCCTCCACTGGGCTCCACTCAGTGTCCTCCACCCCTCTCTGCCAATCCCTCCACTGGTCTCCACTCAGTGTCCTCCACCCCTCTCTGCCAATCCCTCCACTGGCCTCCATTTAGTGTCCTCCTCCCCCCTCTGCTAATCCCTCCACTGGCCTCCACTCAGTGTCCTCCATCCCTCTCTGCCAATCCCTCCACTGGTCTCCACTCAGTGTTCTCCACCCCTCTCTGCCAATCCCTCCACTGGTCTCCACTCAGTGTCCTCCACCCCTCTCTGCCAATCCCTCCACTGGCCTCCACTCACTGTCCTCCACCCCTTTCTGACAATCCTTCCACTGGCCTCCACTCAGTGTCCTCCACCCCTCTCTGCCAATCCCTCCACTGGTCTCCACTCAGTGTTCTCCAACCCTCTCTGCCAATCCCTCCACTGGCCTCCACTCAGTGTCCTCCACCTCTCTCTGCCAATCCCTCCACTGGCCTCCACTCAGTGTCCTCCACCCCTCTCTGCCAATCCCTCCACTGGCCTCCACTTAGTGTCCTCCATCCCTCTCTGCCAATCCCTCCACTGGTCTCCACTCAGTGTCCTCCACTACTCTCTGCCAATCCCTCCACTGGCCTCCACTCTGTGTCCTCCATCCCTCTCTGCCAATCCCTCCACTGGCTTCCAATTGCCCAATGGATAAAATTCAAAACACTAACAATAACGTATAAAGCCATTTATAACTCTTCCCCAAATTACATCACTGATCTTATCTCTAAATATCACCCAAACCGTACTCTCCGCTCCTCACAAGACCTCCTACTCTCTAGCTCCCTTGTCTCCTCCTTCCATGCTCATCTCCAGGACTTCTCCAGAGTTTCCCCCATCCTCTGGAACTCTCTACCCCAATTTATCAGACTATCGCCTACTCTGCTCACTTTTAGGCGATCTCCTAAAACCGATCTCTTCAGGGAAGCCTATCCTGCCCTCAGATAAAAACGGAATCCTCTACTCTTTCAACCAGTCCATCCCCCACAGTTACTACCTTTTGTATCACTAGCCCCTCCCTCCTAGATTGTAAGCTCCAAGGATCAGGGCCCTCCTATCCCTCTTGTATTGAACTGTATTGTTACTGTATTGTCTCCTGTTATATTGTAAAGCGCTGAGCAAACTGTTGGCTCTATATACATCCTGTATAATAATATATATATTCTGTATAATAATAATATATAAATCCTGTATAATAATAATAATAATAATAATAATAATAATATAACCAGTCGTATCCTAGCAGTACTTAGTAGGTGCCTAAAATATGCATAGGTATGCCTGTACAGAATAAAGAATTCACGTTGCAAAGAGTGATGGCTAAAATAAGATTCATCCCGAGTTATGTTAATTCATTAAAATATTTATTCAACTCAAACTTTGTGGCAAATTGCATTGAAATCAACAGGGAGGAATTTTAATGGTCAGTTTTGGACTTTTAGAGGACTGTCAGGCAAGCTTCATCCCTCAGATTACATGGGAGACCACTCACAGGCATAGAGACGTTTGCCAAAAGAAAAAAAAAATATTATTTATTTCAGGTACTTATATAGCGCCATCAATTTAGACAGCGCTTTACATATACATTGTACATTCACATCAGTCCCTAACCCTCAAGGGGTGTACAATCTAAGGTCCCTAACTCACATTCATACATACACATACTAGGGCCAATTTAGACAGGAGTCAATTCACCTACCAGCATGACTTTGGAGTGTGGGAGGAAACCGGAGTACCTGGAGGAAACCCATGCAGGCACAGGGAGAACATGCAAACTCCAGGCAGGGGGGGTGCCATGGCTGGGATTTGAATCAATGACACCAGTACTGCCAGGTGGAAATTCTAACCATTTAGCCACTGTTTAAAGCGGTATTATACCCCAAACCAAAAATGTCATCATTAGATGTGGTGGCTGCATTTTCTTTCTTTTTTTCATTCTGTTTTCAGCTGGAGATCTGGCCAGTAACACCTCCTGTACTACCCCAGGTTCACACTTAAGCATTTTCTGCAGCATTTTGCATTTGTCAGAAACACAGTACCAGTCCATTTAACATGATTTCCTATGGGATATGTTCACATCTTAGAGTTTTCACGCATTGTATTTTTTGGAAAGGGTCAGGGACTTTTTTGAATGCAAAAAGTTGCATTTTTGGTTCTAAATACTTCAATGGAAATGCTGCAGAAAAGTATGTAGTGCATTTTTGATGCGTTTTGCATTTCAAATCTGCGTAGCAACAAGAAATATTTTTTAAAATGCATAAAAAACACGGCAAAATAGCGTAAAAAAAATGCAGGTGCAAGAACGCAAAGCGCAACTCAAAACACATTGCAGAAACAGCTCAAACGTAACCTGCATAGGTGTGAACCTAGCCTTAGAGTTCCCCCACTCTGGAGGAAGGAGAACAGGGGGCACATTTGGACAGCAGCATTGTCAGTCTGGGAGGAGGGGAGTGTTAGATTTAATAGTAAAATTAGATACACAACGCAAGATAGATTTAGATACAAGAAAATGAAGCCAAACTCCAGATAGTACAATATAAACAGTTACAGCACACAGTTTTTTTCTCCTTTAGGGATAAAGGTTTTGCATAAAATTAAAAAAAGATGTACATAAATAAAAGCTGATCATTGTAAGCACCCCTGTCAGTGATAAATGTTTTTTCTTATCCGTGTAACTGCAAGAGAGCTTGTGTTTTTGAAAAACAGACTTATGGGCCAAAACAACAGACTTAGAGAAAAACAATTCCAAGAGAAAGTACAACATTGTGGGTACGGTGTTGTCCAGCACTTCAGAGGAAAAGGACTTTGAGGTACTTATTTCAGATAATTGCAAAATGAGCAAATAGTGTGGCCAGGCAGTGGGGGAAGCAAATAGAATTCTAGGATGCATCATGACAGGGGTCACCAGCAGAAGGAAGGACGTCCTGATTCCTCTATATAGATCTCTAGATATCATTAGAAGGATCACCAGCAGGAGGAAGGAGGTCCTGATTCCTCTATATAGATCTTTATATCACTAGAGGGGTCACCGGCAGGAGGAAGGAGGTCCTGATTCCTCTATATAGATCTTTATATCACTAGAGGAGCCACCAGCAGGAGGAAGGAAGTCCTGATTCCTCTATATAGATCTCTAGATATCATTAGAAGGATCACTGGCAGGAGGAAGTAGGTCCTGATTCCTCTATATAGATCTTTATATCACTAGAGGGGTCACCGGCAGGAGGAAGGAGGTCCTGATTCCTCTGTGTAGATTTTTATATCACTAGAGGGATCACCAGAAGGAGGAAGGAGGAAGGAGGTCCTGATTCCTCTATATAGATCTTTATATCACTAGAGGGGTCACCAGCAGGAGGAAGGAGGTCCTGATTCCTCTATATAGATTTTTATATCACTAGAGGGGTCACCAGCAGGAGGAAGGAGGTCCTGATTCCTCTATATATATATTTTATATCACTAGAGGGGTCACCAGAAGGAGGAAGGAGGTCCTGATTCCTCTATATAGATTTTTATATCACTAGAGAGGTCTCTATGATATAAAGATCTTTAGATATCATTAGAAGGATCACCACTAGAGAGGAAGGGGGTCCTGATTCCTCTATATAGATTTTTATATCACTAGAGGGGTCACCGGCAGGAGGAAGGAGGTCCTGATTCCTCTATATAGATTTTTATATCACTAGAGAGGTCACCAGAAGGAGGAAGGAGGTCCTGATTCCTCTATATAGTAGATCTTTATATCACTAGAGGGATCACCGGCAGGAGGGAGGAGGTCCTGATTCCTCTATATAGATCTTTATATCACTAGAGAGGTCACCAGAAGGAGGAAGGAGGTCCTGATTCCTCTATATAGATCTTTATATCACTAGAGAGGTCACCAGAAGGAGGAAGGAGGTCCTGATTCCTCTATATAGTAGATCTTTATATCACTAGAGGGGTCACCGGCAGGAGGGAAGGAGGTCCTGATTCCTCTATATAGATCTTTATGTCACTAGAGGGGTCACCAGCAGGAGGAAGGAGATTATGATTCATCTATATACTGTAGATCTTTACATTACTAAAGGGGTCACCGGCAGGAGGAAGGAGGTCCCGATTCCTTTTTTTTTTAAACAAAGCTTTATTTGAATTTTTCAATTTACATAAACTCAACGGATGAAACACTCCAAAGATGCTTCTTGGCAACAAAGTAACCTTTTTTTTTTTTTTACAGTACTGCTAGATTGACCAATATGAGCAATACAAAATTTTGCATAGAAAACTGAGCAGAAAGATTCACGATATGTCAGCAGTTAGAACCTCTGAACAGAAACTCTGAAGGCAAATGAGACAAAAGATGGGAGGCATTGTAAGTCAGTATAGAGTGTAGGGAATGTGTAATGGTAAGCTATGATATGTATCCAAAGATAAGGAGGTTAGGACATACCACTGAACTTTGAATGAGAACTGGGGTGCTTAGAGTATGTCAGTTGTCAAGCGTAAGACATGAATGTTGAAGTAGAAAAAAAAAAAAAGCGTATGTAGAGGAGATAATCAAAGAAGAAGGATCAGGGAGATAGGTAGATCTAT